TCATAAATCTCGTCATCGTGGTGCGTTCCTTGCAAGTTGACCGTCACGAATGCCCCGCGCGGCAAAGTCCATCCGTAGTCAGGGTGATGCAGACCTTCTGGTGCAATAACCTGTCGCTCGATGAGGTTGGCGGCAAAGTTACTTACACGCTGGGATTCGCGGATGGATGAGTCGACGCGAACGAGAGAAGAAAGGGCCTGTTTCGTCCAGTGGCCTTCAGACGGCTTGTGTTCGAGGATCTCGTTGCGCAGTGTTTCAAGAACCGATGGTGGAGAAGACAGAAAGTCCAGCATCCAAGATTGGCCTGTCAAGACGGTTGTATGGATAGCAGCAAAGTTGATCGGTAAGAGCCGCTTAGAGATGACAACGGGATTAAGCTCAAAGGGCTTCTTCTCTGCCATCGCAAGACGAATATCCCAAGTGATGAAGTCCTCTGGGGGCGTGTAGTTCTTCATCTCAGGATCGCCAGCATCCTGACGCTGCATATCTTTCAAGCGCTGCTCAATGATCGGCAGTAGGACACGGAATGCTTTGCGCCAATGGAGATAGTTTGGTATGGTGATCAGACGGCCAATAATCGGATGGAGAACTTTAGGGAAGCCATGTAGCAAGAAGCTGTTCATTACGACGTTGTCTGTGAAGCTCACCATCGGCTTCAACATGTCAGGGTTTTGACATGCTGGGTTGCCAACGAGAAGAAGGTTCGTAACGCGAGGGACAATCGCAAGCCAAAGATCCCAGAGATTGACCTTGGTGTAGCCTTCACCGTCGACATTTTTGGGATCTTTCTCAGCAGCTGCTTTCATCATGGTCTCTAGCGCATGCTCAACAGCACCGTTGACTTCGTCTTCGACTGCTGGTATCGCTGATGACAAGTTACGGGCGAGATACTTGTGCATAACGCGGTTCGCAAAGGGCTCCACGGCGAGATCTTTTCCGAGGAAGTTATACTCTGAGTAGAGGATCTTGTCGTGGGCGTGGGATGCTGAGAGGATACGATCGGGCTGGTCCATCATCCAGGCGATTTGAGAACGGGGAAGGATGACGTCTGGAGGTCGCGATATAGGCGCTGGAGCAATAAATGGAAGGCCATTTTTGCCATACTATAGAGAATCCTTAGAGATGAGTAGTGGTAGCGGGGGTTGGAGGGGTTACCTTTTCGTAGCCTTCGCCAATCCAGGCTTGGTGTTGAGTGAAGTAGGCGAGACTATTCCTGATTCTAGAGAACCATTTCTCTGAGCTGTGACCAAGAACTGGAATTTCAGAAGGATAACGCGGTTGAGTGAGCAGATCGACAATGAACGATACGAGCAAGAAGAGAGAGCCGAAGAGAAAGACGCGAGTGAAGGTGACTTCAGTCAATATGTCGCCCAGGACAGTCATGATGATACTTCTCCAGAGAAGATCCGATGAATTGGCAAGAATATATTTACACAAGAAACAAAAGGAACAGAAACAAGAGGCACAGCCAGGCTACGCTACCTAGATAAAAACCCTCTCTCCTTACCTAGCCAAGCGCCACTTCTTATCGAGGGCAGCTGAACCTAGAGCTAATGGTAATGCCATCAATTGTCATCCCGAGGTACTTCCCCATGAAGCTACCGCAGCAGTTACCTTAGTCCCGTGTATTTTCCTTGGAATGCATCATGTTAGTTTGAGACATGTCTTGTCCGTCTCAGGCCCAGCTGAGGAATTGGGTGATTGGCTGATACATGCGCTAAGCTTTCGATTTACAGGGGGAGGTTCCAGCCGCAGGGGGCACTATTCTATTTTAGCAGTAGAATCTCATGATCCGATGCTAGCAAATCTCTTATCCTTAACTCAAACATTGTGTTCAGACGATAGGCTCTCCATGGTATCGAGCCTCTTTCTCCCCGATCCTCCTCCCATCTTGACCAGCTCGAGTCCGTTCGTGATGCTTCTCTCTCCCCTGATCAGGAGCCCAATCTCGCCAGGATGGAACCAATTCATCCATACCAACACCAGCAGCATCAGCATGCCATCAAACACAAACACCCAAACCTCGCTGCGCATCAAGTGCCCATCATTTCCTTCGATGAACTCAACCACCCTGAACAAACTCCTCACCCAGATCAGAATTCCTGTGACGTAGAGTGTCGTGAGATATGTCTGCCACCTTACGCGAGATTCTAAGGATCTCGGGGTGGGGTCTCGATGCATTCGAATGTGGAACACAGCGCTTGCGATGATGAAGCAGCCAAAGAAGAAGAGCTGGACGAAAAGACCTCCAACGATGATTTTTTCGCCCATTTTGCTGAGATCTGCAATAGCCATGAGTCCGCCCCCTGAAAAGTCAGCATCTCCATCCATCATTCACACAAAGACGAGCCCTCATACCTGATGATTGGAGCATAAACGATGCAACATCTCCAAATACAAAGATCTTGGTGAGCCACTTCCGTCGGATCAACGAGTGGTGTTCACCCTCCGTCAAGAGAATAATTCTTCCCAAGATCATGTAAATCGACGCGGCAAAGAGCGCAGGCGCAATGAGAATCAAGACACTCTGCATGATGTAGGGTCCCATCGTCCAGCACCCCGGCTCTTCGTTTGTGTTCAAAACCCGCCCGATATATCCGATAACCTCGCCTGGGTACCCTTGGTTAGTTCGGCGTCCTTGTACCGCCAATCGGAATGTGGGCAAAACGTACAGACTCCGCCCAAAACTAATGGGATTAAATACCATGTTCTTGTTCGCCAGAGTTGAAAGACATGGAGGAGCGTCGTTATCGCGAAGAGAACTACAAACACGATGTTTGCCTCCTTTGACGGTACAAATCGATAGAATGCCCAAACGGCATCCTTGTAGTTGGGGTTGCAGTCCATATTAACCACTCGACTAGTGTTTCCGATGAACAGTCAAGGTTTAGATAGAGTTTGAAAGATAAAATACGAAGGGCTAGGAAAGGACAGGAAAAGAGCAGCTAGGTAGGTAGTCAACACAAAGAAACGAACCTGCTAGGAACCACTCAACTGCTAAACAATGTTTAATTCGTACCACCAAAGGAAACAGGACATCTATCTTCTTTATAATCTATGTTTCTACCATCTAACTTACTCCCTTCGTACAGCCATGGCCCATTCTCGTACATCTGATAAATCTCCGAACACTTTGCGAGTACTCGTAAATATCCATTCTTGTCCCAATGAAGCTCAAGTCTCAGCATACTTTGCTTTAGATTGGTCGATCTGCCACTGACGGGAGCCTCAACGTCCCGACGACAAGGATGCTGACTTACTCTCTCCTCCTAAAACAACCCTAGCGGCTCCGAGTACGCGTATAGAAGGCTGTTTCCGCGTACTCGTCATTTGCCTCGCTCTACATTGTCCCGAGTCCATGTGAAAAGAGTGTCTCTAAGCTGGTTCTCTCCTGTCTCTCAATTTTCTCTTCGCTTTGCCGTTTGTTCGTGATACGAACCCGCGGGTTTACAAACCAATCATACAATGTCTTCTCGAAGAACTCATACCAAATCTCGGACGGGCTGTATAAACTGTAAGAAGCGTAAAGTCAAGGTTCGTAAAATATAGCGCCCTTTCCGAGCACGAGACTTAAGCTTCTCCATATCCGTTCTCTGTGTCTAACCAAAGTAGTGTGATGAGGCTCGACCATCATGTTTCCACTGCACAAGACATGGCGTAACATGCAGTCTCGCGTCACAACCTTTAACCAGTCTAGGCATCTCTTCAGTTGACGGCAGCAGTGACAGTCGTTCGTCATATTTTCCCAACTTGAGCCCCTCAGATTCAACCCCAGCTCCAACTCTGAGTTCCTTAGACAGCCATCATCTAGTCAACTCCCCTGATCCCTTTGGCAGCTACAGTCACCCCAGTCCCACACAGCAGATCGCTCCCTTCCCTCCACATGAACTCTGGGCCCGCGATTGTGAGCTTATGCATCACTACTGCACAGTGACCGCGGATACTTTGTGTGTCCGGAAAGATCTGGCATACGTCTGGGGCGTCGCTATTCCAAGATTAGGTTACCAAGACCCTTTCGTCATGCATGGAATCCTTGCCATTGCCGCTGCCCACAAGGCCTATCTGGTACCAGATAATCGCAAGACGTATCTGCCATTGGCTGACTATCATCAAACTCTTGGCTCCGAGGGCTATCGTCGTTACCTCCAACACTATAGCATGACCAATTGGATGCCTGTTTTTGGCTTTGCATCTCTTGTTGTGCTGCATATGTTGACCCTACCCACCCGGATGAATAACTGTGCACTGGAAGACCCCATCACAAATCTCATCGAACTTGCTGGGTTGCTAAGGGGTATCAAGACGACATTAGAACCAGCAATGGGGCGGATAGTCAAAACAGAATTCGCTCCTGTCGTCTTCGGAATTTGGGGCCTTGACTCTGACGATGAGGCAGAACGGTATCTATGCCCGAGACTGTGATCTTACCCTGAAAGAAGCTGACCCAACCCGTAGCTGTCCCTCTCTCGAGAACTCGTCTCTACCTACAGATACATGGACCGCATTGCAAAGGCTTCGGGCCTTCCAAGAAGCTGATATCCCTGCTAGCGGCCTGCAACATTATACATCAGCTGTTGAAGGTCTGGAAACCTCTGCGAGACTATTTGCTGCTGCTGGGTTACATGCAGAGGTCGCAGCGACACATTTTTGGCTATACATTATTGATGACAGTATACTCATCGACTTAGCTGCACAGAGGCCACATGCTCTTCTTCTCTTCGCACATTACCTTGTGCACTGGGCAGTATTTGAGAAAGGCTTCTGGTTCACGAGGGGTTGGTCTCGACAGGTGATGGCCAAGTTAGAAGAAGGCTTAACCGGTAGGCCAAATTTCTTAGGAATGATGCAGTGGCCTAAGCAGATGGTCGCTGAAGCTGTTGTATAGGCACGGGTGCCCTTAGCACCAGCATAAAGCGTTGTATTCTGTCCGGAATGAAGCATGGTAACCTTTGCTCGAAACACGAGTTGCTGAATTGGAATATTATAGAATCTACCGTCTATCACAGTTCCGGTTCATTGACTGTATACTCGTTGTTCGTAGATATAAGCTGTAACGAACCCCAAGTACCCTCGTCCATGTAATCAACCATATGCCAATATGCATCTTGGCGACCAATCGAGGCCTCGTCTAGTAATTTCAGGGGCAACGGTTCTTCAGTGATTTGGCGCATTTGTCTCCTGTTACTTCCATTTCCACTTACTGAAGTATCAGAAACAGTACGTTTGCGACGGCAAGAAACAGGTGCTGGCGAATCGGATGAGTTATTTGTCAGTGATTCCGGATAAATGTGGTTCTCTTGCTGCATGTCCTCTGATTGCTCGATGGTATGAACTACGAGCGACTGCTGAGTAGAGTTTTCGGATGGAGCTTCCAGGTTCTCCTCTGGGCATTCCACTTCCGAGACGATGCGCCCGTGACGAATACTTCCTTGTGTATCCAATAAGGGGCTTACGAATCGATTGTTTATAGTGATACGGCGTTTCTGACTTGCACCCTGTGACTCACGGACTGGTGAGCTTGGGACGGAGTCGGATCCGATCGTTGTCTGGCTGCAGTGTTGCTGATGTCCGTCATCTGATATGTGTGTGGCAGCAAAATCCTGCATCACCAAATCATGTTCAAACAATTCACCGGAACATGAGGGCCCAAACATGCCCCCAATGGTGATCCCTTCTTTATGTCAGCTAAAGACGCGTAGGTCCATATGCATTACTTACCATTCTTTAGCCACTCAGCGTTATTGACAGTGCATGGCCACACGTCTAGTGGCCGGAAAGCTTCAACGAAGTGGCGGAGTTCTGGTAACGAAGAATGCCTCGAATATGGAAAGTAAATCATTCTTGGGAGACTGCACTCGTCACGCTGCTTCTGGTTTTTGGGATTCTTTCTCACTTTGTCCACCAGCATCATGATAACCTCTTCAGCAGAGTGAGCGTTCAAGGTGTTGATGTCCCAGTCCAGTGGAATGTTGCGACCGGTGGAGGCTATCTTCTCCAAGGTCCCTTCAAGTATATCTGACATGTCGGTTGAAGAGATAGATGAGGAGAGGAACCTTGGGTTCACGATTAGCATGTCTCTCGCAAAAGTGATACAATGTACAAACGTATTGAACAGCGTGGCCAAGCTAGCTTGGTCCAGAAACTCCAACTCGGCTTCTCGTGAAAGATCAACTCCACCGCCGCCAACACCAACTTCGGTCAAGTCCTCTCCTGTAGGCAGGTGCGCAACGATAGGTTGAATAGATATAGTGGTAGGTCTTTGAGCCACTTCGCATAAGCTTCCCTTTTCACAACTGTGTAAGCGAACATTTTCATCTGACGTTAAGCACCCTGGATGTGGCGTGTTGCCACACATGTGGCCAGTCAGAGCCGGTGACTCTGGAGTTAGATGAATGTCTGTGTCAAATCTCGAGTCGGAGGTTTTTGATTTGAGCGAACCATAGATCCGGAGTTTGTAATCGTCGACATGAACCTGCTAATATCAGTGACCACAGTTCAGCGTACTATGAGGTCATCCTAACTAACTTTAGATTTTAAAGCCTTAGACAAGGCGAGCCAGACGTCTTCATATCCGTAAGTCCAGGCTTGTAAGTGGAAGATGGTATCACTAGGGTATTGGGAAACCTTTCGCAACAATTCAGCGATGCCTTGGGCTTTTGTCTGAAAAGGCACATTCTCAGTGAAAGATGTGTCAAGATAGATCTTATCGAGAGTCTTAATCCCAGACGTGTACTCGATGAGATTCGGATTCCGGGAAAGAGCATTCACGAACCATGGTTCGCTTCGAACATCTCCGGTGTATAAAACTGCTTTGCTGTCTCCCTCGACCACTTTATTCGGTTAGAAACAGCAAAGATTGTTTTTCGGTGTCAACATACAGAACATCACCGCCCCTGGGCAATGGTTGGCGTCAAAAAGAGTTACCTGGATCTCGCGGCCCGGGCAAAGCTCGATCGACGTAGGCGTTTCCATAGGCAAGGGTTTCTATTCTCTTCAGTGCGAGGTCGGGGAAATAGATTGTATACATACCAAGACTTTGTGGAGATGCTTGAAGGTTTGCTGTCTTGATTCCAGCACCCCCTTAGCATAGTTGATGCGACAAGGATATCGTTCAAGACGAAGAAGGATCTCTTTGGTAGCTGCTGAGCAGTAGACACTGGATCTGAAGTTAGTTGAAGACTCAACCCAATTTTGGAGACGTACAATGGAGATCGCAGGCTCTCAATCCCAGCCAAGTGGTCGCTGTGAACATGACTTAGGAAACAAGCAAGTGGTGGTTGTGCACCGGCATTGCGCCGAAAGAAGTCAACTGAGATTTTGTAAGACCATGTTCACCATTTCTCATAGATTAACTGACTTCTGATGTCTGGGAATTCAGATACGATTCCGTTGAATGTAGACATTGGCAACACTTAGACGCAAACAGCGTGTTGGCTAAAGTGGAATGCCCAGAATAAGGGAGGCGTTCAGGGAACTTGGACGAAGTAAGCGCTTCCTATCGTTCAATTTCCAGATCGTTCAAATATATGAGATCAGCCTCGAGAATTGTTTGCATGTGTAGGAATCTCATGGTAAAGAGTGTTGAGAAGTTGTGAAAAGAAGAAGGCGAAGATGAGTGTGAATCACGGAGCAGTCGCACTGTCCGTTCTTTCGTCCCAGTGGCACACTTAACACAGTGCACCCTTACCTGCCTGGCCAATGCTCCATGCCTGCCTAAAACTAAAACACCACCCGCAACCACATCACAGCCACTTCTCAACCTTCCCCTTCCTTCCTCACCAGATTCTCATAAATGAAGCAATACCTTAGGTTTCACCCTTTCTTTTGGGAGTTCCGTTATCCATCGCAAACGGGATCTACGGTAACGTACTCCAGGCGCTATAGATTAACAGGAACAAAGGGCTAAGGATATAATCTTCTTCCTATAGTCAATAAGTACATACGACCATAGGTAGTGGAAAATACGGGATCCCGTCTGCTCTCCCATAGTCAAGCCACTAACCGGCGGATTAGTAGTTGGGTCGGTGACGACCAGCGAATCCCCGCTGTTGTATGTTTTTGTCTTTTTGCACTAGAATTTAACCGTACTGTTATCCAGAGTCGTACTTGTATCATTTGGCTTTGGTTTATGTGGTGGTTAAGTATCGTGGTTGCGGGGAGCCTCATACGAGATACCTAAGAAAAGAAACGGCTTGTGAAGGTTTTGGTATTGATACATGGACCCGGACTTTCACAGGCGGATCCGTCTAGGACACTATCAACTAAAGTCGAACCTACACCGTTAGCTATTTCCTCCATGCCGCAATGGCCGGTAAACGAGATTCAATATCAAATCAGTTCCCGTTCAGTTTACCAGTACGCCGGAAGGAACATACAGGTGAATATGTAACCAAAAACGACTGTATCTCCAAGTTCAGCGTGTGCAATGGTTTAGAACTGAACTTGAGCTTCTTACACGAGACTTTGCGACATCTGTTTAAACTACACGCTTAAGAGCCTCTTCCATTCATTACCTATCTAAACTAATTTCACAGGCTGAACCGTCTCCTTCGTTAAACATCATAGCCAATCATTCCGCAACCGCAGTATGCAGCAACAGACCACCACTGCCAGCAGTGATATCCAGCTTCACTCCTTGAGCGATGAAATACACATGGCCCTCGGACAGCTCAAATGACTGATCATTTGCCTTCACACTTGCGCTTCCACGTGTAGCAAGCATAATCTTGGGACCACCTTCACTCAATGCCTCACGGTCACCAGACTTCAAGTCAGTCGCAAGCACGTTGAACTCGCTGGTAGGTGGTTTGAAAAGCTGGGTCTTGCCCTCTTTACTTCCAGGATAAGTTTCTGGTTGCAGTGTCGTCTGTGACTTGGTCGTGGGCTCCCAGTTAAGCACTGAGCAGAACTCATCGACATTGTCTCGCTCGGCTTTGGGGCAAAATCCAGTATTGAGAACGTTGTCAGAACGTGCCATGCATTCAATGATATCGCCCTGGATATAGGCATGAATCCCGCCTGCTGGGATGAAGATGACCTCGCCCGGTTGGAGAAGCATGTAGTTCATACACAACAGTCCGACCAGATTACCAGGGTCGTTTGCTGGGAAATTCTTCTCGAGTTTCTTGGCAACCTGTGGAATGGCTGAGTTAAGTCCCGTAAAGGCAGAGTCGGGGAGTTCCCGGATTGCCTGAAAAGCCTTCTTGATGTCTTCGTCAGATGATGTTAAAATAGTTTTAACGACCTGCTTCAATCCTTCTTGACTGAGCTTCTCATCCGCGACAGTTGCGCCACCGGCGACAAGGAAGTGTCTCAGAGGCTTCTGGCGTAAGATATCCACGATAGCCTCAACAGGTTTGAAGCCACAAAAAGCCTCAAACTCGGACAATGCGAGGGCGATTTCTGGCTTGTGGTTGCCATCCGTGAATGAGTCTAGGTCCTCCTTGTGCTTCTTACTCGAAAACTCCTTGTTAGGATGGACCTGCAATGGCAATGCTTTCGCAATAGAGAGAACCTTGGGAAGGTATGGAAGCTTGCTGTGTCCAAACTTCGAAATGATTTTCTCCCCCAACAGTTCCTTGGGGTATCGGTCCAGAACGTCTTGGAGATCTTCGCCCGTGCTAGCAATATAGGATGGCAGCACGGGGTATGTGCCCATCCACATCTCAGCATATGGCTTGTCCTCGTCAATCTTGAAGTTCTTCTTTCCATTCCCATCCCATCCCGGCGTCTTTTCACAGAGTCGTGCAGATAGAGAGTTAGAACCTTGTTTACCCCATGGGTATTGGTTGCAGCCGCAACGGAGCTGATAGAAGGGAGCTGCTGGTGTCGACATTTTGAGGTTCAATGCAAAGAAGTGTAATTTTTCTTCAGGATGAGTGACAGTGGGCAACTAAACAGTAGCAATTCTCATTGATATATGGCCACTCGCGGCTGATATAATGTTGAGTTCCAACAGCCGAATCCATCGTCATTTTGTCATCACTATCGTTGACGTCAGGCAACAATGATAATTGAATCAGGGTCATAACGTGGTACAATGCGAAGTTCTCGATAGACCCAGTATAATTACATCACTTGTTGGTCCCTCATTAAATAGAGATACGTACATCTTCGCAAGAGACTTGGCACGTGAGCCGAGAGAAGATGGAGGCTTTCCAGATTCGATCCCGATCCGGCCGGACGTTAGCTTCCGGGTACGGCCCGCTTTTTTATATGCCTTCGCCGAAAACCCCGGGGCTGTTTCATGGACGTCACAGGACTACATAAAGGACATCTCAGCGTCCACATATGCTGTACGCCCACCTAGGCTATGGTATCTGCTAAATCTGACTCTCGCAGAGTCAGCGTCTGCATCGTTGTATTACATATACCATCCTAATGCAACCTTACCCTGGACACCGAACGCAGGATGGATTTCTCAAATTTGAACGATTCGTTGAAGGGGCTTGTTATTATTGATATAGTAATCACTTGATAAATAGCCGCCTTGGACTTAAATACGTGTTTCGGTAACCAGGTCTCTCGTGACCATCAGTTCGCAAACACATTATGAGGGATGAGACCATGCCACGCATCAAAAATCAATGTACAGATACTGGTCAGAACACAGCTATAAGCACGGGATATTCTTATATATAAAAAGTAACTGGAATCCCCTCGAAACCTTCCAACCAGTCATCTACAGCGCGAACCACTCCAGTGTACAGAACGTGAATAGTGGATACTGACTTACCGGCAATGACCTATCGTCGGCAGTCGTACTTTTCAATTTAGAGACCAACAGGTGGATCCGGTGATGCTCAGATCAGTCTTGCGATCAAGAAATGCAAGCCGTCGGCTATTTTACTGGAAGAGTGATCAGCCCCGCCGTCAATAGCACCCGACACATCGAGGCAGTTTGCGGTGTGACAAGTGAGCCTGGGGCTAGCTTGAGATGGTCTGATGTAACTCTGCCCAACTAGAGTTCATGTATCTGACCATCTCGTATGTCCATGTATTTCCACCTCTATTATAAACTCAGGATGCCGATACATAGAGGTAGGACCTTCTATGTATACCACTTGGTTTATAGACTTCTGACAAGGTTGGTCATATCTCGAACTCGTAGCGAACGGTTGGGAATAGTTAGAGATGGGGTCGCATAATAGGCCGCGGCGACCCTTTGAGAGGGATCAAGACCCCTGCAGAAGCGGGCCGCTCATTGCTACGGATTGGGGCGGGATTCCTTGTTGGTTTTGTGAAGAACTGACCAATGGTAGATAGAACGAGCGTTCCTGGCTAGGATGAGGCCAGCGTCACTTGCATTAGCCCCGAGTCATCAGACGAGGGTCTTTTGTATGTATGTGAGTGATATCGAGTTGAGCAAATCGTTGATGGTCCAACTGCAACTTTGATAGTTCGGCAGACCATTAGGATGTTCTCTACCTATCAATCGATGTGAGCCTGAACATATGACATGCTTCATGCATGGACTACGAAGCAAACATGAATAGGTCTTTCCTATGTGCTTCTATTGGGTTGTGATTAGATGTGATTGAGATGATTGGGGAGCCCCGACTGGTGACTCCAAGCAAATAAGTAGAATAGTTTCCATTTTATTGATCCAAGAAAGTGTGATGGCCGGGAGGGAAAAATGTCTTGGCGTACATGATAATGATGAGGCTTCATTTTGGCGTGATTGTCGAACGAATCGCCTTGCAGGTCTGAGTCGAGATCACCGGAAGCTATTCAGGAAGTGATATGAATATTGACGGCCATTGTCCATAGAACCAATCTGGCCAGTCCCATGCATTGAAAACTGTGATGCCTAGTGTATTCATCAGCTCGTAGTACGCATTTGACGAAGCTAGTATCAACAGGCAGCTGTGATTCGCATATCTCCACGTAAGTAATAACGCGGCCCATGAATGTTATCACGAACCGAACTCAACATTATTATCGGTCTGTGATAGTGTCGGATTAAAGTGAAGAGGACAATATGGCGGCGGTTAATCAATGAGGCTTAGACAAGCCAGGAATAGTCGAGCCACAAGATACGGGACGAGAATTGGTTTACAAGGCACCTTTGCAACGTTACTGGCTGTTGATATTGGGCCTAAAATGGCCCATCAGGCGGTTGTTGATGCGGTTTGGCACTAAAAGCTCATGTTCTGGGCCCCTGGGGTGCTTGAGTGGAGATATATCCCACGATGAGACGGCGACGGGGGCTATCATGAGCCAGTGGTGATGGAAGATGACTATCTATCGCAGGCATTGAATATTGTAGGATGTATGCATGAATTAAGCGTGGGCATTCCATACCGTATAGTTACAGTTGGTGAATTAGACGATGCTCCATAGGCGCAGTACAGAAGGTAAGCTCTGTAATGTCGGGTGGTCTCCAAAATCAGAAGGTGGCCCA